TATATATATATATATATATATATATATATATATATATATATATATATATATATATATGTGCTGTACTTCACAATGCTACGCATACATAGCATAATTATATCTCACTATACTTATGCTACATTTTCCCATCTAACGACTGGGCTGCTCAGCTGACATTCCTCGTTCAGTCTCGAACATCATGCATACATTTTATAGTACTTTTTACACTTGATTATTTTTATACTTGTTTACTTGATTTTTCTGGTGATTAGCTTTCATATTCTTTTTTGTTTTATCACCTTTTAATCCTGTGAATATCTTCTATACATTCCTAGTGAATACCTTTATATTTTGCCTAGTACATATTTTGATTGCTGTTACTACAAACTGGCAATATGTATATAATCCAGCCTGACATCGAATATTAAATATACTCTCTTTATATATATATATATATATATATATATATATATATATATATATATATATATACATATATATATAACATATATATATATACATACATATATATGCGTGTGTGTGTGTGTGTGTGTGTGTGTGTGTGTGTGTGTGTGTGTGTGTGTGTGTGTGTGTGTGTGTGTGTGTGTGTGTGTGTGCATGCATGTGTATATATATGCATATATATATATATATATATATATATATATATATATATATATATATATATATATATATATTTATATAAATATATATGCATATATATATATATATATATATATATATATATATTTATATAAATATATATGCATATATATATATATATATATATATATATATATATATATATATATATATATATATATATATACATATATATATATATATATATATATATGCATGCATATATATATATATATATATATATATATATATATATATATATATATATATATATATATATATATATATATATATATATATGCATGCATATATATATATATATATATATATATATATATATATATATATATATATATATATATATATATATATATATATGCATGTATATATATATATATATATATATATATATATATATATATATATATATATATATATGTATATATATATATATATGTATATATACATATATAAGTATATATATGTATATATATATATATATATATATATATATATATATATATATATATAAATATATATATATATATATATATATATATATATATATATATATATATATATATATATATATATATATATACTTTTTCTGTTACGTGGTTATTACTGGTATTAGTTCCAATGACTGTTTAAATGAATTAACAGGCCGTTATCTATGAAGTTCATGTAAGTATTATGATTTACTTACATGTTATTGTTTATTTTAATCTTATTTCATGAAGCGCCAGTTAACAAAGAGTCACTGGTCTCTCGATGTCTGGAAATTACAGAAAACGCTTTAACAGTTTGGTAGAAGTAGTGCATTAGCAACATAGTTATATACATAGACTTATGTGGTAGAGCAACTTCATACAAATGTTGAAAGGTAATAGATGAATATATTATATTGATAATAATTAGAATCATGTGGCTATGCATACCATGTTTCTTTCCCTGTTTTCCTTTCTTTTATATTTTACACATTTCTGTATATGACTTATCTTTACATTCAGTGTTTCGAATTGCAGTCCCTTCTGTATGTTCAAACCACAAGTTTCTTTAGATACATAATAGCGACATTTCTCGAGTTGAAAGAATAGAGCTTTTGCATCTGTGCAAGACAGGCCATTGAAATCTGCAGCCTCTTCAGTATCGACATAGGGTTCTTTTAAGACCTCAACTCTAAATAGCTATATACACACACATAAATATTAGTATACATGTGATATACATAAGTAGATGTGTGTGTGTGTGTGTGTGTGTGTGTGTGTGTGTGTGTGTGTGTGTGTGTGTGTGGACAGGTAGACAGATAGATGTGTGTGTTTCTTTGCACTGTGTTATAGTATGAATGTGTGTTGTGTGTATGCAAATACTAAACACACACTCACACACAAACCGAAGCTTCTGTATGATACGGTATTACAGTTCATTCATAACTCGATTCATTCATAACTCTATTCATTCATAACTCGATCCATTCATTAACACGAGAGGGACGAGTCAGACCAGAGTTCATCCCTTGACCTCTTTCATCAAAGGTCAGTGACGTAACGATGACGCAATTAGACGTTTGACCTTAGGGGGCATGTGGGTGTAAGAGAGGAAGGGGGGGAGGGGGGATGGGGATGAAAGACGACCGCTTCCCACACACACACACACACGGACATACGGACACACACACACACACACACACACACACACGCATATACGGGCATACATACAAGCACACAAACAAACACACACACACACACACACACACGCAAATACGGGCATACATACAAGCACACAAACAAACACACACACACACACACGCACACAGACACACACACACACACACACACACACACACACACACACACTCTCTCTCTCTCTCTCTCTCTCTCACGCACAGACACACACACACACACACACTTGTATGTATGTATGTATGTGTGTATGTATGTATATATGTATGTACGGATGTATGTATGTATGTATGTATGTATGTATGTATGTATGTATGTATGTATGTACGCTTGTATGTATGTTTGTAAGTATGTATGTATGTATGTACGCATGTATGTATGTTTGTATGTATGTATGTATGTATGTATATATGTACGTACGTAAGTTTGTATTTTACATACGATGTGCGTGGCTGTAATGAAGGTAATAATGATAAAAGTAAGAATAAGACAAGTAAGAGTAAAACAGATTAAATAAACTCATTATACTGTCGTTAACAATATCAACTATTAACTATTCATAACTTTGTTCCTAGCAACAGCAATGCTTCTAGTATTGTTAATAATGATACTAAATCATAATGATGAAGATTGTTAGATGTGCTGTTTACATTATCATAATTATTGTTGTTTTTTGTTAATGTTATTACATTTTTGGTCGTTATTGTCATTATCACTTATTATTGCTATAATCATGTCAATTACGTTATTATAATTATTGCATATTTGTTAATATTGTTATCACTATTATAATTCAATGATAATTATTGTTTTTATTATTACAATGCTGGTTTGATAATAATAATAATGACGATAATGACAGCATTAATAATAATGGTAATGATAATGATAGTAATAATAAAAATAATTTGTTATTATTATTATCATTAATATTACTATTATTATTATTTTTACAATTAGTGTTATTTTTATTATTATTATTATTATTATTATTATCATTATAATAATTATTATTATTATTATTATTATTATTATTATCATTATAATTATTATAATAATTATTATTATTATTATTATTTTTTAATTATTATTATCCCTTTTATTATTGAGTGGTCCGCAATGCTGGAAAAACAAAACATAATAAGTATTGTTAGAAACATTTTTTTTTTATTTTGACTGAAACGATTCAAGTATAGTATAAGATTGCCTACATGTAAAGGAAGAAAAGGACAGAAAAGAAAAAAAACAAGAAAAAAGGAAGAAGAAAAGAAATATATATACAAAATATATATACATACATGTATTTATATGTATGTATGTATGTATATATATATATATATATATATATATATATATATATATATATATATATATATATATATATACATATATATTAGCAGTCCGCTCGGCGGATGGATTTTTTGAGCAGCTGCACCAGGTAGATCCTCCAACAGCTAGCTCGGATGCAAGTGGTATCACAATACCTGCGCCAGACCCATCCATCAGCGAGGAACCTCCTATCCTAACTGAGGTTAGGATGGCGATTTCCAAGCTGAAGTGTGGGAAAGCCGTAGGAATACGAATCTGCTGAACGCCAAAGGGCTGGAGGTAAACCTATTACACGTCTTGACTGCCATCTGACAGTCTGGTACCATTCCCCCTGTCCTGTTGAGGGGCGTGGTCATCCCTCTCTGGAAGGGGAAGTATTTCACTGCTCTGTATACCAGACAAGGTTTTCGCCAACATTCTTCTGAAACGTATCTGCGTCCACCCATTAAGGCACCAGAGACCAGAGCAATCTGATTCACTCCTGGCAAGTCCACAACAGACTGTATCCCAGCGCTTCGAGTAATTGTGGAACGCCTTCGTGACTTCGGTCGTGGGTTGCTTGCAGCCTTCATAGACCTCAAGAAGGCGTTTGACTCAGTGCATCGAGAATCGCTATGGGAGATTCTGAGACTTAGGGGAATTCCAACACGGATTATTGGCCTAATAACAAGCCTTTATACCGGCATTGAGAGTGCTGTAAAGTGTGGTGGGCGCCTGTTGAACTTCTTCCCTGTTACTTCAGGGGTGAGTCAAGGCTGTGTTCTTGCACCAACACTTCAGCACCTGTATGTATTGGGCAGAGCTACTACCCAAAGTCAATGTGGAGCAACACTGGGTAATATCTAGGTCTCAGACCTTGATTTTACCGATGATGTTGCTATCCTGTCTGAGTCTCTGGAATCACTAGTGGCGGCTCTTGATGCATTTAGCAATGAGGCGAAGCCCTTGGCCCTAGAGGTGTCATGGATCAAGACCAAGATTCAGGACTTTAGGGGCCTGTTATGGGAACCCGTTCAGTCGATCCAGACTTGTGGTGAGGACGATGAAGTCACAGAGAGCTTTGCATACCTTGGTAGTGTAGTCCATATCTCTGGGCTGTCAGAACAAGGAGTCAGTACACGGATTGGTCTGGCAGCAGGAACCATGAACTCGATCAACAAGAGCATTTGGAGACGTCGGTACCTATGCAGAAGGACCTTGCTCTATGGAAGCGAAACCTGGACGCTATCTAGTGCCTTGCAGTCTCTTCGCCGGATCATGGGGCACAGTTAGAAGGACCATGTGTCGAACCGACGACTACACCGTGAGACTGGCATGGGACCTGTTACTTGCATAATCCAGGATCGCCAACTCAGGCTACATAGGCAC